TAATTCCAGAATATTCCCCAAGGGCACCGTGCTGCTCTCAGGTGAGAGAGACCCCTCCCCAAAATATCCCAAAAATAGAAAAAAAATCCAAAAAAACAAAAAAAACCCCGTGAAAATCCCATTAAAATAACCCAAAATAAACCCAAAATAATCCGAAATAATCCAAAATATCCCCCAAGGGCACCGTGCTGCTCTCAGGTAACTGAGACCCCTCCCCAAAATATCCCAAAAATAGAAAAAAAATCCAAAAAACCAAAAAAAACCCCGCGAAAATCCCGTTAAAATAACCCAAAATAACCCAAAATAAACCCAAAATAATCTGAAATAATTCCAGAATATTCCCCAAGGGCACCGTGCTGCTCTCAGGTGAGAGAGACCCCTCCCCAAAATATCCCAAAAATAGAAAAAAAATGCAAAAAAATAAAAAAAAAACGTGAAAATCCCATTAAAATAACCCAAAATAATTCAAAATAATCCGAAATAATTCCGGAATATTCCCCAAGGGCACCGTGCTGCTCTCAGGTGAGAGAGACCCCTCCCCAAAATATCCCAAAAATAGAAAAAAAATCCAAAAAACCAAAAAAAACCCTGTGAAAATCCCGTTAAAATAACCCAAAATAACCCAAAATAATCCAAAATAATCCCCAAATAACCCAAAATAACCCCAAAATAACCTGAAATAATCCGAAATAATTCCAGAATATTCCCCAAGGGCACCGTGCTGCTTTCAGGTGAGAGAGACCCCTCCCCAAAATATCCCAAAAATACAAAAAAAAGCCAAAAAAACAAAAAAAAACCCGTGAAAATCCCATTAAAATAACCCAAAATAAACCCAAAATAAACCCAAAATAATCTGAAATAAACCCAAAATAATCCGAAATAAACCCAAAATAAACCCAAAATATCCCAAAGTGCCTCAGGTGGGACAGAGACCCCTCCCCAAATCCCCATTTTTCCCCCACTAAATTCCATTTTTTCCCATTTTTTCCCCATTTTTCCCC